TGTAGAGGTGGGAAGTTGTGAGAGTCTGTACACCCATAAAGCCTAGAATCTGTTCTACTCATTACTGTTGTAGAAGGCAGCAGACTAAACAGGAAAGTAAGCAAGTTGGCGAGCAACTCCAGGGGACATCACAGAGTGAGATGACAAAGAGGAACTGACAAGAGCTGTGAAGGAAGGAAGGCATCACTGGAGAGATGCAATTTGAACTGAGACCTAAAGGAGGAGCAAAAAGCGACTCGGGAAGGAACACGGAGGGGAAAATACAGGCAGCACAAACCTCAAGGGCCAAGACCCTTAGGCAGGAAGAGCCAGAAAACTATCATGAGTTAGGCAGGAGCTACTCTCCCTGACTGCAGTGTGGTGACACATTCTACAGGAGCAGGAGCAGGACCAGGAGCAGAGGGCAGCCAACTACTCCAGAGGAGGAACAAAGATGGCTCCACCCAAAGCAGTGTGGAAATGCGGACAGCTGATAGCGCTCAGATTTATAGTGGAGGTGGAGCCCACGAAACCTGGCACTAGATTGGATGTGGGCAAAGGAAACTGTCATGGGTAGGGGCCAAATTTCCAGCTTAACTAGGCTGATGGCACCATTGCCAAGATGGAAGCAATGGGGAGTTGAAGCTTGCATAGGAGTTGGAGGAGAAATCAAGAATTTGTCTTTAAGGTGCCCAAGATAAGATGTCAAGTTGGAAGTACCATATAAGGGTTTGGAATCGGCAGAGAGGCTGGAGACGGAGATAGGAAAGCTGGCACACTCACCTTCTGAGGCTATGTGCTTCAAATGACTTAACTGTGAAGAACCCACTCACGAACCAGCTGTTTTCCTGCCGACAGGCTTTGGGGCTTCTAAGGTAGCACAGCCAGAAGCTCCAACTATGCCCCACCCCTTCCAGCCTGATGTGCATCCATCTGGCCACCAGAGAAGCATTTATGAGTACCTTTCCCAGTCCTATTATCTCCTCCACTCACACATTCAGGCACCGCCTACAGTCCGCAGGCATGAAGGCACTGCACAGGAAGGCTGCCCGGAGGCAGGCTGAGTTCTCACAAGAGGTCACCACACCTCATTATACAGAGCTCATGGAAAGTGTTTCCTTCCCTACTTGAAGCAACACTAGGTCTGTGAAAGCCTACCTCCTGCTCTCAGCCAAGAGCTCGGCTTGGAATTGCCAGGGCAGTTAGGAGACAAGAAGGCTCCACAGACTTCTGTGAGCATTTTGACTCATTTGGGTCACTGAAAACCCTTTAGGAAGGTCACCTCTCCAGCAATGCTGGCCCTGGCTCCCCATCTTCCTGGCAATCCCTATGCTGCAAATATGCAAGCATAAAATTACCCAGTGTGTACCCGCTCAGATCCCTTCTGCATGCTTTCAAATTGCAAGGACCTCCCCCCGTCATTTGCATGCAAGTATTTATCAAGTCCCAGGATCCAGTTGTGGAACCATGTCATCAGTCTGTACCCTTCCCACCCAAGGCACTAAATGAAGACATCCCAAATGCCAGCAAACCATCAATGACCCTGTTGACAAATTTCAAGGTTGTATGTTGCCATGGAAATGCCACGTGCTCGAATCTAGAAGTTGGTGGGGTTCCTGGACTGGTTTTTCTCCCAGGTGACTGACTGCCTGACACTCAGCATCCCCTCCTTCGGGTCAGGTCCCTCATCCGTGGCAGGAGGAACTTGCCCTGTGTCAGAAGGCTTTCGATGAGCACGGGGAAGGGCTGTGTTACCAGAGTACAGACCCTGGCAGGCAGGTCCCTGCTTTCAAGGACAGACACAGCTCAGTTCTGGCTCGGAGATGGGACTGCGCTCAGTATGCTCAGAGCTGAACGCAGCTCACGAATGACCTCATCTCACCCAGCCATCCTTGGAAAGAGGCACTTTCACTACTCCACTGTAACACGTGGGAAAACTAAGGTTGTCAGGAGGTCACATACACAGAAAATACTAAGTGAAGTGGGCACTTCATCCCAGGAAAGCTGAATTCTGGCACCCTTGCTCTTCAACCTTGGAAGGGCCTCCGAGTCACATGTGGCTTCCACGGAGGGTGCAAGCTGTGACTTTAGTGCCAACATAAGGCTAGCTTGTGCCCTAGGGCCCTCAGCTTGTCCGTCTGGTAGGTATGTGCTCTCTTTCTCAGCCTCTCTGGACCTCAGCTTTCCCACAGAGTAGTTCAGGATGTCCAACACAGGAGGACCCCTGAAAGCCGTCAAGGCAAATCCTCTCATTTCAGGTGAGGGGAACTGAGGCAGGCAGCAGTGAGATGGCTTGGTCAAAGGCTCTCCAAGAACTGGCAGGAGAGCCACACCAGCATCTCAGGGACAGTCCAGCCTCATAGTCTCACTCGTCCCCACTACCCTTCTCAGGCTTTCTTTCCATTTTTAATGGAAGAGAGAACTGGAGCTCAGATCAAGGAACCAGCTGAACCCAGGCAGAAAACAGCAAAATTGGAACTTGAACCATTTGTTGCTATGGCAATATGGAAATTAGTTGAAAATATGGATTTTTGGAGTCAGAGGGAGTTGGATGTGGATGCTCCCAGCTGTGACCTTACATAACTGACCTTACATCTGCAAATTGGGAAAAATGCATCACCATGGTGTCCTGATCAAGCCATCATAGGTAGGGGACACCAGCACACAAAAGGCTTGGGCCCAGAAAAACAACAAGCACTCCACACATGGCAAACACTTATGGAACAATCACTGGGCACTAGGTGCAGTTACAAGCGCTTTCAACTTTCTTTATCACCTCCTCAGTGGAACTTACAATCCCACTTTTCAGACAGGCAAACTGTCATCAGTTTCTCATTCGAATTGTTCAGCTGTTCACTGATGAAGCTGAGATTCAAACCCTGTGCATTTCAGTTCTGGGCGCCCAGACTCTTGCTAGCAAAGCTGTACTGTCTGCACCTGCTTTCAGCGCTGTGGTTAAACAGGTCTTGGGAGGGTGAGGCTGGCACTCTCTCTACCTAACAGCGAGGTTGTCCCTCAAAGCAAAACTGCAGGGATGAGCACAGACGGACACCACAGACTAACAGGATGTTCTGTGCATGGCTGCCAGCCCTGCCCAGATACAATCTCAACAGCCCAGAAGGCCAATATGAGCAGGCCTGGATCCCCACCCTCACAACCCAGCTTCAGGCGAAGGTCCTCGGGAAGAGATAAGCTCATATTGGAGTGGCCTTTGTGGTAGGATCAATGTCTGTCTAGAGAAAGCTTAGCTTTTGGGAGACCCCCAGTAGGCGGGATTAGAAGAGTCTGCCTGCCTCACTGTAAATGACTACTGGACTCCAAAGCCATAAGACCAACCTCACCTAGAACACCAGCCTTCTCTGCCACACTCTGTATCGCTGTCTTCTCTCCCCAGCGTGTGTCTTCTCCAGCACCATGTGCTACACGGCTGCTCCTCCTCCCCCTGATCTCACTGCCCATTTCCACTGGCTGGTGGCCCTCCCCTGTGCCTCACAGAAACGAGGGAGCAGAGAGCTGGAGGTGGGTCTTCTGTTTTGGCTGACATGCATTTGCATCACATCTTCCCAAAGTTAGAGACAGTTGGACGCACATTAGATTTGCACTTTTCTGACCATACAAGGGGACTTCAAAGAATTTGAGCAAAATGGAATTAAAAGGTAAGTTTATTTGGGGACCAAAACTTTTGAAATCTATGCAAGCTGGCGCCGCGGCTCACTAGGCTAATCCTCCACCTTGCGGTGCCGGCACACCGGGTTCTAGTCCCGGTTGGGGCGCCGGATTCTGTCCCGGTTGCCCCTCTTCCAGGCCAGCTCTCTGCTGTGACCCGGGAGTGCAGTGGAGGATGGCCCAAGTACTTGGGCCCTGCACCCCATGGGAGACCAGGATAAGTACTTGGCTCCTGCCATCGGATCAGCGCGATGCGCCGGCCGCGGCGGCCACTGGAGGGTGAACCAACAGCAAAGGAATACCTTTCTGTCTCTCTCTCTCTCACTGTCCACTCTGCCTGTCAAAAAATAAAAAAATAAAATAAAATAAAATAAAAAGAAATCTATGCATAACAAGGGGTCTTTTAAAAGCTCAAGGAAAACACATGTCATGAAAAAGCTATACATGGATTTCAAAACTTTGGGGCACCTAAATACATTTCTCTTTTAATTCTGTTTTGCAAAAATGTTTTGAAGTGCCCTCATAGCTCCCCTTTCTGGTTTCCTTGCCATGAGTCACACAGAATCCACGTGGGTACTGTTCTCTCCCTGGGCTCCTGTACTCACACACACGTGCTCACAACTCCAACTTCACCATCATGCACCATGTATGCGCACAGCTGCAAAAGCCACCTGTCTAAGACACACAGATGGGCAGGGACAGTGGAAGTCGCTAAATTGCGTGGGACTTTGAACGAGATAACCCCCAGAGTCCTGGCCAAGGTTAAGATGCTCTGCTTCCCCCAGCATTAGCTGAAGTGCTAGGATCGCATGAGCATCCTGCCTGCCGGTGAGGAATTGGTAATGATTAAGGTTAAGCCCTCGAACTTCACAAGTAGCTCACTGGAGCCCTGTCACAGCCCTCTGTTATAACAGCATTCTTCCCTTAATAGGGATGGGGGAACTGAGGCACAAAGAGTTTGAGTAACTTACAAGGTCACACAAACAGTTTAGAGCAACCCCGGGCCGTGAGTCCAGGCTGCTGGCCTCCAGAATCTCGTTCTCAAAACTCTAAGCAGCTCATCCTAAGATGATCCACAAAGACAGAGACCTGTTCACGAGATGCAGAGGCACGGCTTAGAATCCAGCCTGCGACATTAGCAATAAAGCACACCGAGTTTCAAGCTGACTCAGCTGCTCTGGTCCACACACTGCGCTAACGGCCAAAGCCTTCCCCAGTCTTGCCACTTTGCACTGTGCCCCCTTTCTTTCCAGAAAAGAGCCCATGCTGTCTCCTACATCCAAGCCTTTGAACACTTCACTCCTTCAGCCTGGCACACACGTACCTCGCCCTCTGTCTGCATCACCCCAACTCACCCTTTAAGACTGAACTGAGGGGCCAACCTTGTAGCACAGCAGGTTAAGCTGCAGCCTGCAGCATCAACATCCCGTGTGAGTGCTGGTTCGAATCCTGGCTGCTCCACTTCTGATCTGGCTCCTGCTGATGCACCTGGGAAGGCAACCGAAGATGGGTCAAGGACTTGAACCCCTCCCGCATATGTGGGAGACCTGGATGGAGATTCCAGCTCCTGGCTTCGGCCTGCCCGAATGGCTCCGGCCATTTCAGGAATGAACCAGCAGATGGAAGATATTTCTCTTCACAACTCTGCCTGAACTTAAACCTCCCAGATGCCTTGGCTGACCCAACCTGGTATCTGTACCTCTCCTGCACATATGAATACCAAGCTCAACTCTCCAGCCTCTGCTTGTGTCATAGCCATGCTGGAAGGGATTAGGAATATGTTGGCCCTGTCTAGACTGCCAGTCCCAAGGGGAAAGAGATGAGCCCTGTATCTGGCATGCAACAACAATTCAATAAATTTTTAGTGGCAGACTTTAAGGGTAATGGGAGCTTACAGCTGCCCGAGTGTGACTCAGGCGGAAGATTCCTGTTTTCTTTTGGTTCCTCTATGGTGCTTTGTTCTCTCTCACCACTGGGCCTTTGTACATGCTTTTCCCAAGTCTGAAACACTCTTTAATGACCACCTTTTAAAATCTAGTCTCTTGATTCCAAGCTTGGGTGAGGATATCTTATTTTAAGCTCTCATAGCTCCATGTTCTTTCCCTTTGATGTAGAAGTTCCCAAAATGGGTATCCTGGGTCTCTGGGAGATCCCCTGAGACCCTTTGAAGGGAATCCACAAGGTTGGAACCGCTCTCTTAAGTTACTAATCATTAGGAAAACACAATTCAAATCATAGCGAATACTCAATCGACCCTCTGAAATGAGTGAATCAAAGCCCCAGTGACAGACCTGAGGACCTAAGTGCGTGCCTCAGACAAATCCCATCTTGCCAGGGGCAGCTTTTAGCTCTAAATGCCCTGCCTGAGAAGGGGCTGTGGAAGGGTCCCCTTTGGGTAGGAAGTGGGAAGCAGCAGCAGGGGCAACCCCTCCTCTGGAACAAAGAAAAACCACCAGGCCCAACACGGTGCTAAACTGTGCAACTTCCCACTGGGCTCTGCGTTCCTCCTATTTCTCACAAACGCATCTGGAAAGCATTAGGAAGGGGTCAGGCTGGTTTGGAAAATGTTTGGGTAACGCTGGACATGGGAGGTGGGGCTGGAAACCTGTGCAGAAGAGCATGACCCCTGCTGGAGTTCATGGTCATGGCTGGACTGCCGCTCCCACTCCTGCCCTGCCCGTCAGGAGTCCTTGGCTCCACCTTCACCCCTCAGAGACCCTGTTCCAGACTTGCTGTGGTGAGGAGAGAGCTGTCCCCATCTCCCAGTTATCCGTCTCCCATGGCCTCTCTTGACTCTAACCACAAAGTCCACCCAGGCCCTGCTCCATGGATAATAATTATAATAGAAGTAACAGGAACCCATACATCATTATTTCCCATCTAGTGAGCCCTCCTGTACCAGGTAAGGAATTGACACACACACACTCTCACTTTCCCCTGGAATAAGCCCTCAGATCTTAAATACTCAAGTTCCCATTTCACAGACAAGCAAACTGAGGAGCTAAAAGGTAAGTTGACTCCCCCATGGTCATAAAGCTGAAATTCAAGGCAGAATGACCGGACTCTGAAGTTGTCTTCGTAACCTCTCCACCACACCAATAGCCCAGGAAGACAAAACCAGGCTGGAAGCTAATTCCTTTTCTCCCAAATCAAAGAGGCCCAGAAGTTTGAGATGGGGGGAAGGTTCCTCCCTGTGGCACCTGGTTGCCTGTGATGAGGAGCTGCTAGTTGCTAAAATTGAGTTTCCTCTCCCTTCTGTAGGTCCCAAATCAAATCTAGTTTTCAAATTAAATTTCCAACACTCTCCCGGTGAGTTAACACAATGGGAGCAGCTACAATAAAAATAAAAATCCATTTCCTTAGCCCAGCCTAGCCCCTGAAAGAGAGCAGTCCTTCAGAATAAAGACATGTTAATGTTATTTTTCTTTAAAGAAAAAAAAAAGCACCACTTCTTTCACATGGTAATATCACTGAGAAATCCTGGGTTAATGTTCAACTCTGGGCGTGCAGTGGAGCCCAGCCCAGCCTAGCAGCTCTGCAGAGCAGAGAGGGAAGAGGCCGGTCAAGGGGCCTCCTGCTCAGGCTCCAAGTCAGAAGAATCAAGACTCCTCGGTGGCATTCACGGAGGGGACAAACTGGAACCTCAGGGACAGACCAGCCAACTTTACACAGTTGTTCTCTGGGTCAAAACCCTGGCTGAGCCTCCTGGGACTCCCGGTGCCTGGCCAGCCCTCACTGAGATACACTGGGTGAAAAAAAAGAAAAATACGAACTATCTCAATCCGAATTTCCATGTTGAAATGATATTTTTGGTATTTTGCATTAAATAAGATGCATTATTAAAATCATATCACCCATTTCTGCTTGCTGTTTTTAATAGGCTACTGAAACCTGTAAGGACCCATGGCGCTGGCATTATTTTGTCACTTGACAGCCCTGTCCTGGCTGCAGGGCACGGTCACCCCAGGGGCCAGCCCTGGACACAGCCACACCTGGATTTCCGTCCTCCACCCCCTCAAGCCCAGCCAGCACCACTGATAACCCCGCCTTCCTTGCTCCAGAGTTCTGCTCACCAACCCAGGTCACCCAAGCCACCCTTCCCAGCCTTCCAGGCCACCCTGGTGGATTCCCTGGCCCCTGTCCCGACCTCAGGAAGGGAATCCTGGCAGCTGTCTCCATCCTCCTTTCATCCCTTCCCCCTTCCTGGCACCCAGGGCCTCAGACAGAGAACAGCCCCTCCCCACTGCAGCCCCCACTCTTACAGGTCTTTGCCTTCAGAAGTTTGCACGTAATTGTTCCTTCTCCACCTCTTTAATGAGCTCCTGGCTCCTGGGGTGCAGGAAACAGGAGCCCAGACTTGCCCCTCTGTCTGGAGCCAGTTGCTGCCTGGCCACACCCTCCTCACCCCAGTGCTAATGCCCAACAGGTGTGGGCCCAGGAGCCCAGCCTGAGCCCTGAGCTGCACACCTGTCAGGCATTGCCATGGGGCAGGGCCACGGGGAGGGCATGTTCCCTGCTCCTGCGGGTTCTCCCCTGGAGCTGCTCTGAGAGGACCCACCTCCCCACCTGCGCTTGCAGAAGCCAGGCTCGTCCTCTCAGAAGCCTCTGCCCGCGCCAGGCTCCTGTTCACCAGCCCACCACGGCCCAGCTCTCTCTCAGGAATTCCAGGAGCGCTTGCTGTGGACCACAAGGACCTTGCTTGTGCGAGGCCTTTGGTATTCACCAAGCACTTTCATCTGTGGCGTTTAGCCCGTGCAGCAATCTCACGTGACAAGAATCATTTCCGGTTCACAGAGGAAGAAACCAAGGAGGCTCCCAGAGATAGAGGAACTTGTTCAGCTAGGCTCAGAGGCCACCAAACGCCCAGGCTAGTTGGGGCTGTAAGAAGAGCGGCGATGGACAAGAGGGTGACTTTCAGCTTTTCCACTGCAAGGTCTGTGTCTGAAAGCTTCTTAATCCCTATGTGCCTCAGTTTCCTTGTTTGGGAAAGGGAGTACTTAGCTCGAAGTTGTGAGGAATTAGTTGGTGCAGGAATGTTCCTTTTGAAAAGCTTTTGTTCGCTTGAAAGTGAGGGAGTGTACTCCCATGTGTCAATTCCACAAATGCTCAAAATGGCTGAGATGGCCAGGATAAAGCCACGAGCCAGGAACTCCACCCGGGTCTACCAGACAAGTGACAAGGACCCAGCTAGAGCCATCACTGTGGCCCCCCAGGGCGCTCAGCAGAGGGGAGCTGGACCTCCAACCCAGTACTCAGGATCTTGAACCGCTACGTCGAATGCCCGCCCTAAGAAGGGCACTTGGAGTGCCACAGGTGCCCAGAAATAAGCGCTCTATCAACAGCAGCTGCTGGCGTGCAGGAGTTCCCCAGTGGCGTTCACTCTGCTGTGAGCTCCTGAGCTGCAGATATGCGTGCTGGGCCAAGTCTCTTGTGATGCCTGTGATGACGACAGAAAGACAGAAGGGTCTGGGGGACACAGGTGAGTGTTGTATCCCCTCAGAACTCCTGTGCGAACGCCTGAATGTGAGGATGTCTGCAGCCAGGGCTTCGGGGAAGTGACTGGGGTTGGATGGCGTCCTGCGAATGGGGCCCTCTTAGAGGGATTCATGCTCTTAAGAGACCAGAAAGCTTACTCTGTCCTCCACTACTTCCCCCCAGGTGAGGGTACAGGGAGCACCGGGCCATCTGCGAGCCGGGCAGAGAGCTTGCCAGGAGAAAGCCACCCATGCTGGGGTCTCAGGCCTCCGGGACTGTGAGGAGGGATGTACGGTGTGAGCCCCTGGGCGGGGGGCGTTTTGCTATGGCAGCCGGGGCCTGACAGTCAGGGGTCGCTCTGCTCTTGCTCCTTGTTTAGAGAAGCCCCCAAAGTGAGTACAGGGGCTTCCCCAGCTACACGGGAATCACCAAAACACAGCGTTCCTCCGCATGAGGAATGATCAAGGCAGGAAATGGTCTTCACACCACCATTCTTGGATCCCTTACCAAGAACAAACCGGGTCCTGTAAGAGAAGCAAGTCCCAGGGGCCCATCGCCCAGGACATGGGCCATACAGGGTGCTCCACCCGGAGCCTTCACGCCTCACGGAGTCCAGACCATGCTTTAAAAAACAACCACCACAGAATTCCTCTTCCTTATTCCAAAAAATAATAGCTTGCACTGTAGAAAATATGCTCAAGTATAAAGAAAAAATGCCATGTCAGTCCTCCTATCCAGAGCCGCTCCTTGTGGTGCATGCCCTTACCACCACCCCCATATTTTTAAGGCCTTTATGAAGAGCAAAACCTTCTTTAACATTCTTTTTATCTCTAAACTCACGCTGCATATACCCTTCTGTGGCCTGCCTTTCCTCTCAATATTAGATGAGAATTGTTTTCCCTTGTCATTAAAATTCTTCGTAAACCACATTTTAAGGGCAGAATAATACCTTATCATCTGGGTGCACCATAACCATTTCCCTATTGTCAGACATGGAGGTTGTTTCTCATATTGCACTACCATAAATAATACTGCAATCTACATGTCGCTCCATAAAGTTTTATTCACCCACCTAGCCCTGATGACTTCCTTATGATGGGTGCCTGCAAACAGGATGGCTGGGAGTGACTGCATGAGCCATTCGTGATCCATCCTGACAGGCCTATGTTGGAGAATACTCCTCTCACCATCTGTTCACCAGCACTGAGTAGTGTTTCTTCTTAATTTTTTGATAATGTATGATAATACCCCACCAATGAAGAAAACCTGGCGCTTGAATTTTGATCATCTGGCTTTGGAGAAAAAAAAAAAAAACAGGAGAAATGCTTTATGAACTCAGCATCTGAGAAAATTAGACACTGGTTTTTTGGGTTTTTTTTTTTTTTTTTTGAAGATTTATTTATTATTTGAAAGCAGAGTTAGGAGAGACAGAGAGTGTCCATTCTCTATGGCTGGCTGCAGTGGCTGGGGCTGTGCCAGGAGCCCAGAGCTGCTTCCAGGTGTCCCACGTGGATACCAGGGCCCAAGCACTTGGGCCATCCTCCACTGCTTTCCCAGGCACATGAGCAGGGAGCTGGATCAGCTGAGACTCAAAGCAGCGCCCATATGGGATACTGACACTGCAGGCAGTGCCTTAAACAGCTATGCCACAATGCTGGCCCCAGGCATTTGTTTTTAAGAAATGCTATGCTACTCTGTTGATCTTCAGTTTGTGACACTAACTTGTGGCTAACAAAATAAATAAAGCAGAATTTTGAACAATCCAGTTTTATAGAAAAGTTCAGCAAAAGCAGAGACAAAATCCTATTTTATTGCTTGGCTCTTTGTCATCTGCTCTTAATATGAGAAACCACATTTGTTCTTTAACCCTGTGAAATCATGTTATTCCCAGTGTAGACAGGGAAACTGAGAAGGGGTTTGTAATTGATCTAGAACACTGGAGCAGTAGTTGGTACAGCCAGGAATAGAACCCACATCTGCTCCAGGTCAAACACTACCACCCTCGGCTGCAGTTCCAATGAATGGCTGGGAATAAAGGTGGACTGTCTAAAGGTCAGCTCTTTAGTATAAAAGATAAAATGAGCCCCACACAATCTGCTTATTTTGCTAAATTCTTTGGAACTAACGTGCTAGAAAATTCTGTTCACAGCTAAAAACAAAACATTCCGTATTCTAGAGTTGTGATTTATGCTAAAGTACCTGGGGAAGCAGCAGAAGATGAGCCACGTATTTGGGGCCCTGCCATTCAAGTGAAGACTTGGATGGGGTTCCGGGCTCGTGGCTCCAGCCTGGCCCAGCCCCAGCCATTGTGACCATTTGTAGAGTGAACTCTCTAACTCTGCCTTGCAAATAAATAAATCTTACATATGTGTGAGTGTGTGTGTGTGTGTGTGTGTATGTGTGTATTTCCAAAACAAAAAGGGAAGAAGAAAAAGGCAACAAAAACCAATGCAAAATGACAACTATATAAAAGAAATAAAAAAGATAAACAGCTCACAATATGACAATGATCATAATCATCATCATGAAGCTCCCCCTGGCTTCCTGTCCCTTGGCTGCTGGCAGTGGTCTGACTTCTGTGGCTGGTTGGCACCATTCCTCAAGAACCACTGCTCAGTGGCCCATCTGTTTGCCTAAATATTGGTGGTCCCCTGCTCTTCCAGGTCAGAAATCTAAAGGAACCAAGCCCTCTGGGTCAATGAGTCATCTTTTGATCCTCCTGCAACCCCAGGCTTGTGAAGTCCTGACTGACTTAGACTCTTTGGGTCCTAGACTCTGTATTCAGTCAGTCAGCACTTTTGCACACACAACTAGAGAGTGGGTTCTGTCCTAGGGACACAGGAAATAACTCCTTGAAAGTCCCCAGCCAGACTGGGGAGCTGGCCTAGGAGACAGCTCCTGTTCCACCCTAGGGAATGAAGTGTGTGCTAACAAATTGCCAAGCTGTTGAGGAATCTTGGACCCTGAAAGCTAAAACAGGTTCCAACTTTAGGCATGAAGGTTACCCTTAATTAACAGACCCCTTTCCAGTGTTTTCCAAAGCTCAGTTTATTTCAGAGGCCAAAACACACACTAACACACATGCATACATACATACACACACACAGGAGGTGGAGCAGAGGGTTGTGGGGGAAACACTTCAAGGTGGAGAATTCCCATCTGCTGGTTCACTCCCTCAAATGCCTGAAACAGTCAGGGCGGGGCCAGGCTGAAGCCAGGAGCTGGGAACTCAATCCATTCTCCCCTATGAGTGGCAGAAGCAAAGCACTTAAGCCTTCACCTCTGTCTTACAGGGTTCACGTTAGTAGGAAACTGGTATTAGGAGTGCAGCCAGGACTCGAACCCGGGCACTCCAATGTAGGATGCAGGCATCTTAACCACTAGTTAAACAATAAGTCAAACCCCCACCCACTGCCAACATTTCATGAGGGGTAACTGCAAACATCCCAATCGTTACTTTGATTTCAACATCACAAATACAACTTTCAATTATTTCAGAAAATTAATTTTCTGCATAAAAAAATTAGGGCAAGAAAGTAATCAAATTCAAGTAATTCTGCCACTTACAGATAATGACTATGATGCAGTGTTGTCTTTTTCTTATACATGATTCATTTTGCCCCTTCATTTCCTTTATGAAATAGGACATCTGGTCTGAGTGCACACAGACGACAACCCTTGGATACCAGCAAGCCAGGTACTGTAATGCTCCTTCAATATCACGTTTATAGGATTAGCTATACATTTTCCACTAGTTTTAGTGCAAAGTCAACAATGCATGACATGGTAAGAGAAATACTTGCAAACAATTTCCCTAAAAAGCAAAGGAAGAAACTGTAGATATTCGTTGTCTGTTACTGCATAGCACATTGCCTTACTACTCCTAGGGGTCACAAAACCAAGTCCTAAAAATAATATTACCTGCAGAGGACATCGGTTTGTGTGTCCAATCGCCTTATTAAAATTCAGGCACAATGCCCTACACCTGATCTCTAGGAGGTGTTTTTTTGTATAAATGAGACTTCATACCTCTTGAACAGCAACTCTGCTTTTCTCCCTCTCCCCAGCTCTGGTCACTGCCGTTCCACTCTGTGTTTCTCTGAGTTTAACTCTCTGAGCTACTTCACATAAATGGAATCACACAGTACTTGTCTTTCTGTAATAGGCTTCTTTCACTTAACATAATGTCCTGTGTGTTGATCTATTCTGTTTCCTAAGACAGAGTTTCCTTTCTAAGGCTGGAGAGTATTTCATTGCACGTACAAGTATATGCCACACGTTCTTTAATCTTCTATCTCCTGATGACCGTTTGAGTTGCTTCCATGTCTTGGCTGTTGTGAATTACATTGTAATGAACATGAGAGTGCATGTATCTTGAAATCCTGACTTCAGTTGTTTTAGATAAATACTAAGCAATGGTCTTGCTGGATTATAATATAAATCTAGGAATTTTGCCCCCAGAAGTCAGGCTTTAGATACCATACTTCGATCCCCACCTCCAAACTGTGCTCTTTGGACAATGGGTAGGCCACTAGGCCAATCACCTTCTCTTGCTGGGAACATGGTGTTCAAGCTGAGAGCCAGGGAGCAAGGTCACCCAGGGTGCAGATCCAGCACAGGTTTCCAAAGGGCTATTTCAGCCTCACCTGACGAGCCTAGAAAAACAACTTTCCAGGACTCAATCCAAGCATAATGGATCTGAATATCCAATGGAGGACCCTTAGGATCTGTATTTTATGAATTTCCTAGTCAATTATGAAGTTCTGTCAAATTTGTAAACCACAGCAAAGGCAAACTCACAAATTCCTGACCTGAGGTCCCCAGAGCCAACCTGATTCCTCCTTGGATTCCAGGAGACATCTCCACATTCTTCCAATGACTTTGCATCCTACTGTGTACTATAGCTGGGGCTGGCTTCTGCAACTGCAGTTGAATGAGAGAGTCCACAACCCCTGGCACTGTAGCCACCTGCGGAGTCATTGGCTCTACAATCTCTGCTGTTCTAATGCCCTTCTATAGAGTGTGTTCCCTTGTGTGGCTCTCAGACATCCAAGAAGGGGGGTCCCCAAGAACAAGACAGCTGATGGAGGAGTTTAAAATACCAAGTGATGGGGGGGAACCTGTGCGCTCTCGGATGTGTTTCTGGCTTCACTAAACCCACCCTTGACCTCAGGTGCTCATTCTAGTGAGAGGCAGTGAAGGTTGTATTTTCTCTTTTATATGTGTATTTTGTGTATCTAATGGATGTAAGGATGGTTCTAGGCTAATGCTATCCAGTAGAATTTTCCATGATAATGGAAAATCCTATAGTAGGCTATCATCTTGTGTTTATTACTGCTGAGCCCTTGAAATGTCACTAGTTTTAGGACCTGAATATTTTAACTAATTTAAGTAGCCACACCCGGTTAACGGGTCTTGTTTTGGACAATGCAGTGCTAGGTATTTTACCTAATTATGTCTGCAGGGTGGAAAGCACAAGCTTAGTTTTCTAGGTTAGGAAACTGAGACTCAGGGAACACTCACATGGTGGACGTCACCAAATGAGACAGGGAGACGATTCAGATCCACATTCCGCAAGCGATACAACTGCTTCATCGACAACACACACACAGTGCGTGTAAGACTGAGATAGGGGATTAAGGAAGACTGAACATCCCATCTCTTGGGCATCAGCTCTGTTTTAGTTACAAGGCCAAAACAGAAAGGGAAGCCACGATGCAGGACACACACACTATCAATTCGGCCTAACCATGCCGATGGGCCCGCCAACTGGCTTGGCGGGTGCCTCCAGCCGTCCTGGCTCGACACGGGCCTTGCGGTAGAGCATGTTTTATAGCACGCTGAAAACTGCAAGATAGCTCAGCCTCCAAGAACAAAAGTGATTGCAGGGTGAAGAGGGAAGGGGGCCAAGAGGCGGGGCTGCCCATTTCCCAGGGTGGACGGCACGTCGAACAAGCCACATCCAGGACTTTAAAACACCGCTCGGCTGGAAGACGGCCCCCGCTGCCGCCCCCGCTCACCGCGCCCCGGGAAAACTCCATTTCGAACAGTTACGGTCAGCCATTTAAATCACATTACGCTGTAAGTGGATATACAAATTGTCAGCCCTAATGAAATTTAGGAGGAAGCAGTGGGAGAGGTGAAAACACTTAGGACTGGTTTCTTGGTTTTCGAGACCCGGCTTCAAGTGGTTTAAGCTGCTCTCTGGGAACGCGCTTGGCGTGCGGTTTTGCTGCCAGCGTCTGGAGGCGAGGCAGGGAGTTCAGGCCGCATCTTCTGCCCGGATTCCCTCAGGAATTGCACCGCGAACTAGACCCCCATCTAGACAATGAGCGCCTCGCGGAAGGCGAGAGGGTCTTACCCATTTCGGCCCCCCGCCCCGCGCTGAAGGACTTGTCACACACAGGCACCGAGAGGTGCGGAATGAAAGCCAAGCAGCTCCCACGCACGGCTTGCTTCACCAGCTTCAGAGGAGGTCCCCGGAAAAGAAGTCGACCTCTGCCCCGGAAGTGCTTCCGCCAACGACCAGGAACTGCTTCCGCCAAAAGCCAGGGAGGCCAGAAGGGCGGCAGAGTGCAGAGTCAGACTCCGCCCTCCTTCCGCCTCCTGAGGCGATGCGCCAGGCAGTGTGTTGGACTAACCGATGAATTATCTGCCGGCAAATAATTTATCAGGCTTCTTGATCCAGGGCAGAAGGAGACTTGGCAGAAGTGAGGGCTTGCAGATTAAGATAATCATGTAATAGCTACCATTTGTTAGTGATGACGTCTGCCTGTCACTGCACAAACCCTGTCGAGAGTAATCCTCAGAAAACTCCTGCCCAGGGACTGGGGTTTGCCCCTTTCAGAGAGGAGCAAATGGAAGCTCAGAAAGGTCGAGGAACTAGCCCAAGATCACATAGGTCGTTTTGGTTGCAGAGCTGGTAGTTTTGCCAGTCTGCACACCCCTCCCCCCCTTCGCAGAGTGCCCCTGGATGGCTTGGGAGGGATGTGGGTACGGTAACAGGAGGACATGCCAAAGAGCGGCCTTCCCTACATGAAGTATCATTTACATACATAAATGTACCATTTACATTCTCTCTTTTCCCAAAGATAAGCTTCTGAGGTCCTATTTTCCACCTCCATATAGCATCCATTTCCAGGGTCTCGAGATCACTGAAGAAATCCAACTCACTCCTGGGTTCCATCCAAACTCTTGTTCCTGTACCAGATGTTGAGGCCCAGAGAAGGCGAAGAATTTGCCCAAACCCACACAGCAAAAGGTGGCCAGAGGGCAACTGGAATCCAGTCGGCGAAAGGGCCTTGGGGTCGGTCATGAAGCCTGGATGGAGGATTCTCTCGGGCTTTTCATCAAGGAAACTTCATTGCTTGACACCCCCCGGGGTCTCCAATGCGTCAGCGTGAGAACTTATAGGAGGGACTCTGAGGTGGCCTCCGCTGGAAAAATAGGCCAGCCGCTTCTGGGCCAGGAATCAAGTGTCGGATTTCTAGCATTCCGAGTCCTCCATGTTTCTCTTCCCAGCACCCCTGAGGCATCACCGCCTCGTGGAGGCAAGCCAAGGCTATGCTCAGTCAGTCCTGGCTTTGTGTCTTACTAGCTCTGTAGTTTAGAGGAAGATATTTAATCTTCTGGGGCATCTTTTTCCTTATCTTTTGAAATGAGCAGAGTTATGCTTCCTTTTATCAGATGCCATGAGATTAAGCAAAGCAAGTAAAAATACCCAGAAGCAAGCCCAGCAGGTGAAGTGCTTGGTAAATGGAGGATAATAAACCTGTGTTGTGGTTACACAGACCTCATTATTTCCATTTTATAGATGAGAAAACTGAGGCTGAGAGGAAGCTGAGTTGCTTGCCCCAAGGGGCACAGCTTGCCACCCACAGGAAGTGCTGTGGGGTCCAGTGAGGGAAGGTCTAGCATGCCTTAGCACCAAGCTACAACACTTGGGCCACATTGTTTCCCTCTTAGCCCCAGAATCTTGCTTTGCGAAACAGAGGTGAGTCCCCACCTTGCCCATGTCATAGGTCTCTCCTAAGGCATGAGAGAATGTTCTACAGCATTTCCCTTGGATGGGGGAGGAATCGGCAAGTCTGAGCTGATGCTAAACCCATCCTCTACCTCCCCACCTTCTGCTTCCCCAGCCTTGAACCCCATCAAGAACCTCCAGGACACCCCTCCCAGTGCCTTTCAGGGAGTGCCCTGTAATTTGCTGAATCAGGGAGGCTCATGAGTCATGGAAAGGCGGCGATGAGAACATGGCTGGCTCCTCCCCGATGCCGGTGAGGGCCACCATCAGCATCCCTACTGCTGCTAGGGGGCTGCCTCTGTGAAAGGCCTTTCATTTATCTGATAAGCAATCCTCACCATCACCATCACCGTCTCGTGTCATAGAGGAGAATATGGGAGTTCCAAGGGGTTATGTAACTGCCCAGAGGACAGACAGCTGATAGGAGCAAAGCTTGGAGCCAGTTTGTCTCAACTAAAATTCTTCATAGTTCCCTCTTAGTGTGGTTGTGGTGTATTTGTGAAGGTGGGAGAAGGGTGCCCTGCTGTGTGTGTGTGTTGTCACAGGAGACAGGAAGGATGGGCACCATTTCTTCACTGTGGAATCTTAGTGTAGCAATAAAGAATGCAAAGATGGCTGCATAATGTCTCCTGTGCTTTGCACATACTCCTGTGCCTAGGACCTTGAGAGGGGCAGGGTGTTTTTCCACCTCTTGTGAATCAAGGTTTGCTTTGACCAGTAGAATGCCCTGGAAATGATACAGTATAACCTTCAAGTCTATGCCTCAAGAGAGCTAGGAAGCTTCCAATCTCACCTTCTCTGGAATGTATCACAGTGTTGAAGAGCCCAGGTGGCCTCCCTAAAGAGAGCAGACCACGCCTACAGAAAGACCTAGCCAACAGCCAGCATCAATTGTTGTCTAGAGAGTGAGGCACCTGGTGTCATCCAGCTCTTAGCCTTTCTGCCAGGCTCCAAGCAAAAGCAGCAGCAGGATCCCTCCCTCCTAACCCAGCCCAAACTGTTGATGCACAGAGTCACAAGCAAACGCCATGATTATTGTTTTAAGCCACTAAATGTTGGTGTGGGTGTGGTGTGTTATTTGGCAAGTGATCATTGATAAAGTGATTGACTTATTTTCTCATCTGTAAAGTGGGGATGTGTGGGGAGCAACTCGGACTAGACTGTTACTGGAATTAAGACTTATTCTATGCATCTGCTCTCCCACAATATGGCGCTGGGAGAGAAGAAAACAGCTTCTACACAGCTGCCTCCGGTTCAGCCAATAAACTGTAGGACTTGCTCCTGATTGGAGGAGAGCAGCGAACTCGGCATGTGGGCAGCCGAGTTGGGATTGGCAGAGGAGGATTATAAAGGAGGAGAGAGACGGCATGCACCAGGAACATCTAAGGGGAACATCTAAGGGAACACCTGTGCAGCCCCCGAGAGAGCCGGCCGGCGGTGTGCCGCTCCCCTGTGGAAGTGGGGAATGTGGCCAGGGGGAACCGCCCTTCCACGGAGGTGGAAGGGACAGTAGCCAACCCGGGAAGAACCAGCAGCAAACCCGGGGAGGGCCGAGCAGACGAAAGAACAGCGCAGGGTCCTGTGTCGTTCCTCCACGAAGACGGGAAGCAACATAATGGTGCCGTGACTCGGATATGAAGCCTAGGCAGGGTTTAGTGTCGTTCCTCCACGAAGAGGGGGAGCGACATAATGGTGCCGTGACTCGGATAGGAAACTTAGCATGGATATGAAACTTAGGAGGGAAGAAACGGGAAGAAGTGGAAAATATCAGAGAGAGAGACTAGCAAACAGCCTAGGGAAAAGCCGGACAAAAAAGGTGCCGGAAGAAGCTAATGGTGCCGTGACTCGGATATGAAGCCTAGGCAGGGTTTTGTGTCGTTCCTCCACGAAGAGGGGGAGTGACAGGGATGATATTCACATCGTACTTGATCAACTTGTAACCATGAGTAGGCAAGTTGAAGCCTGAGAATGCCTGAACCCTGAGTCTGGCACAGTTAGCAGCACCCGCACTGAAGGCTTGAACTACTGGTGTGAGCAGCTCTGCTGAGGGCCCCTGAAGCGAGGGACAGGAGGCAAGCCCTTCAGTGGGTAGAGGAAGCATGGATGGAGAGGGCATCCCTGGACAAGAATGAAGTAAGGCTCACAGCAAATCAGTGATGTGGCGGAGATAGTCAGCATCTGGCTGGAGTTGTCTTGGTTACAGAGCTATTAGGCCACCCTGAGTTTGGCTGGAAGCCCAGGATTGTGGAGGTTTGAGCCAAGTTGATGCAATACCAAAACGTCCCTGAGATCATGGAGGCCTCAGGTTCCATGGCCAACGTGAGGGTCTAGTGACTAAGGAACTGCCGAGGTGGAAGTGTCTCCATAGCATCTCAGGTTCAGGCCTGAGCATGTCCTCGCTCTGCTGAGTACCTTTTCATAGCCCCCACCCCCCCAGGAGGAAGTCCAGACTGCAGATCCCAGCTTCTGCCCGACTGCAGCCTGAGCTGCCGAGGGTTGCGTTCAGCTCCACCACTGCCCTTTGCCTTCATATTCTAGCGCACCCCCAGACTCTGGGGTGGACCGCATCTCTGCTCACCTCGGGGTCTCAGCACAAGCTGCGCCCTTCTTGAATGCTCTTACTCCGCCTTCCTCTGCTTCACCTGGAGAACCCCCACATCCTTTAGAAGATCAGCTGAAACATCCCTTTCTCCAGGGAGCATCCTTGATCCCCCAAATCTGGGTTTGTCTCTCCTCCTCAGGCCTCCCCTGGCACCCTGCCCTTCCCTGCCCCTCGTCACTGTGACTGTTGGTCTCCAGGATGAGTGATCTAAGAACACAAGGACGGAAGTTTCTTTAGCCACCTCTGTAACCCCACCACCAAAATCGGTGCTAGCACACAGTGTGCATTAAATACGCCTTCCTTCTGTGTAAACGATAAATGGGTGAGTTGAGTGAAGTCTTGGAGATAAACATGACAGCAACAAACAGGAAATGAGGACAAGGTGGTAGATACCATCTTGATAAGGATCATAGACTTATGAGGACGTGTGTGAGTTTCTCAGGGGATGGGGGTGTCTAGATGAAATGGCCTACTTATGAAAGGCTGGTTGCCCCGGGGGTGGGGTGGGAAGGCACCCAGAGGCCTCTCCTGATCTATGAGAGCTCTGGTTAGGGGAACTCCGTTGAGTTGGGGATTGAGGAGTAGCCTTTGTAAGCATCAGAAGAGGCAATAGTGTTGGGTAGTTGGACTCACTTTGACATCAGACGCCAAATGTCAGTAATGGCATACAGCAGAGCTTTGCAACATAGGACGTGCTTGACTTCCCTCCACTTTGTGAGTAAGGATGCAGGTTTCTGCCAACTTGGGGCTCCATCAACCCTTAGGACTTTGGAGTCCCCTGCTCCCAGCTGATTGAAGAGAAAGATGCAGAGGAGAACTCGCAGAGGCATCTCCTCTGTTCATCTTCCAGGGGAGACAACTAGTCATCGTATCGCCCTATGTGTGAGAATGGGAAGTGTTGTCTCTGGTTGGGTGGCCTGGTTAGGTGACCACTTCCCAGTGTTAGTGCGACAGTGATGAAGGGGGGGCTTGAATCTCTGGTGGGAAAATGCACTCTCTGGCAGATTGAAGGTCTACAAACCTCCAGGTGCTCATCTGTAAAATGAGGGCAGAAGTAAACTTCACAAAAGTCTTGGGATTCTTGCTGAAATGGGATGAAAGATAAAACCCTTAGCAAGTGCCAGGCCTTAGCTTGGTGTTGCTTAAGCCTCTGCTTGTGACACCAGTGTCCCATATTGGACCACTCGTTCAAGGCCTGGCTGCTCTGTTTCCAATCCAGTTTCCTGCCAATATGCCTGGAAAATCAGTGGAAGGTGATGGGCCCCAACCACCCACATGGTGTGCCAGGATGGAGTTCCTGGCTCCTGACTGGCCTGGCCCATTCCTTGCTGTTTAGGCCATTTGAAGACAGAACTAGCAGCAGGAAGGTTGATTCTCTTTCTGTGTCATTCCGTCTTTTAAATAAGTAAATCTTTACAAGGGAAATAAATACTTGACAAATAATACCTTTTTTAAGAGGCAAAGACAGAAATCTGCCATACGCTGGTTTACTCCCCCAAATACCCACAGTGGCCTCTATCCGGGAATGGGAATTCAGTCCAGGTCTCCCATGTGGGTGCCTAGTTACTTAGGCCATCTCTGCTGCCTCCCAGGGTCTGCATTAGCAGAAAACTAGAGTGAGCAGCCAGAGGTGGGTATCATTGTGGCATTCCATTGTGGGATGTGGGCATCTTAATGGCTAGGCTAAATGTCTACTCCACGCTTTTTTAAAAAAAAATTTTATTAGTAGAAACACAGCTTGTCTGAAGGCAGTGGACAGAAGACATCTGAATTTTCTCTCTCCTTTTTTTGCTGCTTCTGCAGTTTGCACCATTGTTTCATCCTCTTTCTTCTTGCTGTCCTCTCCCCTCTCTCTCTCCCTCCTGTCCACTTGGGTCTCAGGACTCGCTTGGTGCCTCCAGAATGTGTTGTCCCCATCCTCATCGAGTGGACTGTCTCTGCAGGCAGATGCAGCTCCCGTCACCAGCTCACTCTCACTCCCCCTCCCTTTATGTCCACAAGCCTCAAGCTTTTGACCTCAAGAAAGCACATGGTACCAACCAAACCTGCCAAAGAGGCACTACCACCACCACTTCCCAACTTAGCCAGAGGATAGTAGCGAGTGTTCCACGAACAGGAGTCAAGTATATTGGAGGAATTCAGAGTGAAACAGCGGGTTTGCTTCCTCTTGCTGCTCTTTGGTTTTGTACTGTCAGTATGCTCATGAACGTCGGAAGTCCTTTGCTAAATGACATACTGCGTGTGGAGCGGCCCCTGGGTCAGTGAGAAAGGAGATGCTTAGAACACATATCAAAAATCGGAGTTCTTGTTTGTTTCGGCAGGGACAAGCTGGTTAGGAATCTAGCTGATGATTTGTTGTCTTTTTTAAAAAAGACTTATTCATTTATTTATTTGACATGCAGCCTGACAGAGAATCTTGATCCATTGGTTCCCTCCCCAAATGACTGCAGTGGTTGGAGCTGGTATAGGCCAAAGCTAGGAGCCAGGAACTCCGTCTGGGTCTCCCACATGAGTGGCAGGGGACCAAATACTTGGGCCATCTTTTGCTGCTTTCCCAGTCCTGTTAGTAAGGAGCTGGATTGGAAGGGGAGAAGCTGCGACTTGAACTGGAGCTCTTACATGGGATGCTGGCGTCACAAGCAGTGGCTAACTCAGCTACATAACAGCTTTATTCCCAGATTTTGTTTTTAAAACTAATTCCATGCTTTTATGGAAATGCTACTATTGGGCTTTGGAGGCAGCCTTTTGCAGGTTACATCGTGTAGATTTAAAAGCCGGTAGAGTGGCTGCTTTTGTCCCCAAATCTCAACTCAGGTCACTAAAATCAGAAAAATTCAGGCATCCGTTCAAGGTGATGCTGTTGGTGAGCAGCAAAGCCAAAACCTGGGGATGGCTGTGCTTTTCATGCCATCATTAAATATTGGGGTCTTGCAACATGCAAGGCATTTCTTCATACCACGTGATAAATGCTTTTGGTTTATTTTCTTTAACTTCTTTTGTTGGCTTACAAATGCAGACCTTCTTGATTGAGACCAGTGGTTTTCACCCAGGGTAACTTTGCCCCCCAGAGGACATTCAGCAACATCTGGAGATACTTTGAGTTGTCACAATGGGAGAGTGTTGGCACCTAGTGAGGAGAGGCCAGGATGCATCTAAACATCTTGCAATGTCCAGGACAGACCCGTAGAACAACGATCCAGCCCTGGATGTCAACAGCAATGAGGCTGAGAAACCTCACTTAGAGGGAGATCACTTTTAAAAACCATCATAACGCAAAAGCCTGCAGGGGCCAGTTAGGTGGTATCAGTGGATGGCTAATCAGACGTGCCCAGCTCTGTTGAAAAGGAAGGAGCAGTGGCTAATTGGATCCCACAGATTGCTGCTTCGTGGGATCTGTGGCATATGCAGCCAGACGGCTGGCTCGTTCCACTTTTCAAGGCAGAAATCCAAATTTTAATGTGAAATATTCAACTCTTAAATGTTGATGACTCATTTGAGTATTTTTTAATGATATGTCAAACAAAACACATCTGGAAGCATGATGTCGACAGCTGGGAGTGCCTACCCAGCGTTGAGCCAATGTTAGGTGTTTCAAATGGCACTGGCCCTGCACTTCCTTGCTTTAACCTCAGACTTATTCCAGTGTCCCTGTCCTTGTCCCTTTCCCCTCCTCGCCATCATTTACTGAACTCTTACTACGTTAGGTGGTACATCCTCTACTAAGCACTCCATAGTGTTAGTCTGTTTTATTTTTTACGAGAACCCCAGGAGGAAGCATGTAATTCTCCCATCTTAAAGACAGAGGGTTCAGAGACACAAGTTATGCAACTTTCCCAAGGTCAGAGTTGCAAGTGGCAGTCCTGGGATTTGAACCCCAACAGTCTGGCTCCGGAGCCTGTGTCCTTACCTGCTAAGCCAGGCTGCCCTGAAAAAGATGCTGCATTTCTTAGACTCCACGATGGGCGTCACAGTACTCATGGGTCTACCGCTCTGGTCAGCAGGGATTCCCCAGGTGTTCAGAACCTCAGTCCCTCTACTGAAAGCCATGGTTTTCAAAGGAGGTGATTTGGCAATGTGTGGAAACATTCTGGTTATCACCAATAGAAAGTGGGGAAGGCTATTGGCATCTCAGGGGAGGGACCAGGGACAGATCTCCATAACAAAGAACTCTCTGGCCCCAAGTTCAACAGCATCAAGACTGAGCAACCCTGACCTGCAGATGTAACTGGCAGGATGTAAAAAGCAACCAGCATAATATTTCAGGTGACTAAATCTGTTCTCCTGGGACGCCACTCTATTCCTCTCTCCATAGCATTCCATCTTCTCTTGCCCTGGAGTTTCATGGCAGTCCCATCCCCGTGTACTAAATGCCCACACTGAAGAAGAATCTCCCAGAACTCTCTTAAGTATTAGCTTTAGCAAAGTAAGTAAAAAATGGAATAATGAACAAGAGGCCAAAGAAAAATGAGCAGTAAAGCACAAAGTCCCTGAGATTCAACGATGGCATCATCTGCGTGCCTACAAACACTAGTATCCTTTCTGGATGCTCTAGGGCACAACCCGTGCCCAGTGAACTCGTGCTTCAGGGAACATTTTCTCTGCTGAACACACACACGTGACTGCGTGGGATTTCATAAAATGATTTTAATAGAAAAGTACAAGATATGAACAAAAATAAATAATCTTTATCTCATTTCCAGCCCAGCAAATTGTACACTGCATATAAAAATTGTCTAAGATGCAATTTTCCCTCCATTTATTTTTCCTTTAGAAATACCAAGACAGCATTTTAATTCAATCTTCTAGTTTCCAACTGATATACTTTTTAAAACTCACATCAACTTTTAATTCTACAGCCATATCTTCAAGTTGCCTAACACGATGATGCTTCATTAAAACAAAGTATTATCCAATCATGAGATTTAGGTGTAAAGTTTGTGTGACCAGGTGAATTAGAAGATCCCTTTTTTTGAGTTTTATTTCATGCCTCTAGATGTTTCCCAGATGAATCATTTATTTCATCTTTGCAAACATATCCTCTCCTTTCCCCCACTCCATAGAGAAGAGACTAGAAAATAATTTCTTAAAAAAATAAATACTTTAAAAGTCTACAGTGATATTGCAGTATTTTAGACCTGTGCCCTGGTGCTCATTTGCATTAAATATATGCTTCAAGTTGTCAGTACCTTTTCTACCTGCCTCTATTCATAGGACGGGCCACTTTGTCTTTGGGGGCTGTTTTTGCTGACGATTTCTTAGAGTCAGCTGGTACTGATCTTTGATTTGGAGTACTTACTCTGCTTTAGCATCGTATTTGATCATTTCAGTGACTTGAGTAGTGTTAAACTGAAAATTGGGATTGGCAAAATCATCTAAGAGTCCGGAGAGGCTGCTAACACTTAGTGCCAGTCTCAGGAGGTCAGTAGCTCGTGGAACTGAACAGACTGGATTGAAACTCGAAACATCTTCCTTTGACAGAAGCCCGTAGGGACGATTTTGAACGTGGCTCTGTTTGTTGCTGCCTGTATGTAACATTTTTGTGTTGTTGTGGTTGTTAATTTTCCTGTATTGGGAAGATGGTAAATGCACTCCAGGATGAGAAGAAAAAATATGCTGACACTGCTAAATTGAGTATATATTTTTGCAATAAAGAACACTGGTCAATATACAACTGAGGAAAAACTGAACCAGATGTGAGTCCTAGAACCACAAGCGTTTGAATTTGCCCAGAAATGCTATTTTAAACACTCTGTATGTTGGTCTCCTGGTTTTTTGTGGAATAATGCATTCTTGGCATCCTTCGAAGGCTTCAACATGTTACAAGGTTATCCGGAAAGGGAAAAGGGGAGAAAAAAAAAAAAAGCGAAGGGCTAACGTATCGATCTGGGGTAGCACTGGCAGACTTCAGTGCGCATGTTCATCAAGCACAGGAGCTCACATTAATTGCACTTCACACAACGAACCTTCCGTTCCCAGTGAGCTCTCGTTCTCTGCAGACGGAGGCAGGCTTTCCATAGAAGCCGCTTTCAAAGGGGGCACGCGGGCCCGAGTAAATTCAAACAGAGGTGCAATAGTTGCAGTGGTAAACACAAAAGATACTTGTACATTGTTTGGGGTTTTTTTTTTTTGGACTAAAAATCTGGTCACGGATAAAAGCATGTGCCTTTTGGGTTCTTCTCTGGGCTGTAAAAAGAGCAACACACTCTAAAACAATTAAGTTACACGCATAATGTTAGAAGAATGTGAGCGATCCTACAACCAGCTTTAAGCCATCTGCTAGATTTTTTTTTTTTTGAGGAACATACATAGGAAAGGAGAATTCTCCTTTTGTTCTGTTACATATAGAAATCTTTTGAAGCTTCCAAATAGCTTGGTTCTGGTGAAATTCTCCAATCTTGTATTATTTTGACATGGAGTAGTCCTCAACTATCCCTCATGGATTCTTTAGAAATCTCTACATAAATTATCTGAAGGACAACTGAAACCACTGACCAATATACAAGTAGCATTTTATTTTATATTCTATCTTCCATTTGGCATAAGCCTTTCGATGTTTGTTTTTTAAACCAGTGAAATATACAAATCACGCAAGACGGAAATATGTACATTAAAAGTACAGAATAAAGGCCATAGAAGATATACATAATATCTGAATGACACGTAGAATATTTTACATTAAATAGTTTCTTTTAAAAGCTAGGATTGTTAAACTCAACTCTGTTCATAAAGATGAATCACTAAAAAGGAACAAAATCTGATTCAGCAAATAAAGTCCTTTATGGTTTTTGTATAATAAAAACCAACAAAGTGACATTTTAAACTAATTAGTGCTTTTTAATGTCAAGATCTTTTGCTTGCAATTCACTGCAACAGAGGGGATGTGAATATCCTTGTGCAATAAATTAAGAGCTACAGCTGGCTAAGGTGTGACGTGATGGCCACCAAGCCTAGGAGGATGATGGGAGATGCATTATCTTCCCAAACTTTTAAAACGTGGAAAGTTGTGAGATAATATGGTTGATGGGACTTTTTGGGGGGAGGGGTATGGGGGGGGAGGATGTCCTTGTTTAAAAAAAAAAAAAAACCTTTAAAACTAGCTATGAATGTATTGTGCTGGATTTCCCTTAGGGACTCAAATAAGTACTACCAGGTACTACCACATCCAGTGGGTAAGGGCTTCCACTCTGCAGAAGGAACTACGCAAGGAAGACGCTGAGGCGGCTCTGAATTTCGAGTATCTCTTGGTGTCCATGTCCACGACACATAATGCCCTCTCTACAAGGTGCACAGAAACAGGTTCAAGGGGAAGGCGCGGGGCGGGACAGATCCCGGACATCTTCACACCGACCGGCTTTGCGGAGTCGGAGCCCCAAGCTGCCTCCAGGGCAAGGCTGCTTTGAGGCGCTGAAGGCGAGATGGCTGCAGGGACCTCGCCCAAGGTCAACAGTCAGAAAAAATTTGGAAAAGTCCCGATTGGATTGCAGTGAAGGACAACAATGTTCAAGACAGAAATTACCCCAGAGTAAACTGTAAATCTAAACCACTGGCTGCACTGAGATATATTTATATTTATATTTATATATGTATATATATATATGCTATGTACAAAAGGCTTTGAGATATCAGGCACCATTAAACCACATTTCCCCCCTGTAAATGCAACTGTTCAAGTACACAAGGAACAGTTTTCAGGTACCCCTGCAGTATAATAGGAAAAGCTCGAGTGGATAGTCTAAACACAGGATCGGAACAGTGACACGCTGAGACCCTTCTGTGAGCTCCAGCAGCCAAGGAATGTCATTAAAACAGAAGAAACGGCTGCTTCTCAAATTTTTCAGGGGAAAAAAAAAAAAAAACAACTCATCCCTAAGTGGTGAACTGTTTGCCAAGTGGAGCCCCTAATGTTTCATTTCCTGCCCTAGAATCAAGGGGGACCCGGCGGAGCTGCCGTCTGGAAGCGTGGCCAGCACCACATCACGGCCGGAGGAATGAGCGAGGGCCCCAAGTCGAGGAGGAAGGCGGGTGTCTCACTTCTCCTCTAGTAGGCCTTCTACTCTAGTGCTGGGCTGGGCTGCTGACGTCTGAACAGAATTCATGTCTGACTTTTGCTGTTATTTTTTATCCAAGCATCCCTAAGAAAATGCTAAGCTACTTCCCTTTCTATTGAAACCAGTATGCCTTCCTCAACCACAAAGTCATCTGGGGTGTCCTTTCCCAATCCGAAAGCCTAATTCTCCAGGAATTGTCTTAAAATAGCTTGCCTGTGCTGTGCTGTTTTTCCTTCCAATTTCTGGCAAGTTCCCTCCCTGCTCCCCAACTTCCACAAGCCATCACAATTAAAGTCGATGGTGCAACACTTGAGAAGAGTGACACACAGATAGGGCCTCTTGCTTTGAGAATGAGATTCTGACATGGTAAAGATCAGTTTGAAAATGTCAAACACAGGCTGGCAGCAGGTGAGTCTCTCTCCGCACCTTCACCCCTTCCCAGCCTTTTATCTTGGCCCAGAGCATGTGCACTTCATTTGTGCATCGATTCTTACCTGATCCAACGGATCCTACCAACCCCATGTGACCCCGTACTTGAGAAAAAGACAAGGTATTTCCTTGGCCTGCTGGATGTGTACTCGGCCCACACAGCTGAGTTAGGAGACGTGAGACCTCCTCCTCCTCCACTACCCACAGAAGTCTTGGATCACCTTTCCAAAGATCCACAAAATAAATATTTTTCTTGGTTCCCACCCCTCCATTATTGCCAAATAATAATTATATTAATAACAAACCACAGAGTTCTTAGATGGAACAGGAAAAAATATGGTTCCGGTTGTAATTCTTGGGGGAAAATAAAAAATATTTTAAAACAACACAAAACAGAATCACTGTACTTTCTATAAATAAGTGGGTCCTGGGAGTGGGGTTGGGTGATGGGCGGGCACCCACTACTTGCACACGAACTGGTCCACGATCTCCGTGCACTTCTTGCACTTGACATAGCAGCACCAGTGGAACTTGCAGTGGCAGCGCTCTGTCTGTACCGTCTTGAACTGGTCGTAGCCGCGGCCGCAGCACATGAGCTCACAGCCGTCCATGCCCTCGGACGTCTTGTTGCACAGGCGGCCCTGGGTGCCCAGCGAGCCCGTGCTCTCGTTGCGCACACAGTAGTCGGGGCTGGGGTCGATGTAGACCAGGTCCTGCGTGGTGGGCGAGTTGAAGCGGCTGTTGACCTGCACCAGCTTGCCCCGGCTGTTGAGCCGCATGGCGGCCGCGCTGTCGTATTTCTCCTTGAGCGCGTCGCCCACCTTGCGGAAGTCCGCCAGCTGCAGCCAGCACGTCTTGAGGCTACACGAGCCGGATACTCCGTGGCACTTGCAGGCCACATCGGCCAGGTTGTACACCGTCTGCAGGAAAGCGGGGGTGGGGTGGTCAGTGCACAAGTTCACGGAGGAACCAGGGCGCAGGGAAGGGCTGTGTTAACTAATCAAGTTGTCCTTGACTTTGGTTGGCTGGGGCCACGTTCACCCACCAGGTTAGGGGCTGTGTCATCTCCCCTTTGACCTCCTCTACTGGAAATCTTAAAAATTACGGAATACATCTGTTCTTATTCCCTCATCATCACCAACCACCATCACAGTTTTTGATTGGCAACAGGAGACACAGGAAGTCACGCCAGTTGCTGCTTTGCTTGCAGGAGACTTGAGCAGCCACACAAGAGCACCCAACCCAGAGACGGCTCCCAGCTCGTTCACCTGAAGCACCTGCAGGAACTCCCACAGCCAGGCTGTGAGGTTAAGTGCTAGCATTCCCATTTCAGAGAAGGAAAAGTGAGGCCCAGAAAGATGCACTACCCACCCCCAGCCAGTGAGGAATAGGGGTGCCATGACTGAATTCAATCAATTGGACCCCCAGCCTATTCTCAAGATGTCCCCATGGGCACCTATGGCATCCTGCACCAGTGGGGGCAGGGTTTACGTCTTGGCTCACTACTACCATTATTGCTGTGTGCCAGGGACTGTCAGAAGGGTCCTGACATTCATCATCCCATCTAATCATCCCAGCAACATGATCACGTAGGCACAATTAGGTGACAGCGCAGTGACACAGCCTCCAAGTGGAGGAACTGGGCCTGGATTGCCAGTGTCCTCCCCCCCCCCCCTCCCTGATCTGCTACCACCCCCAGGCCAAAAGTACCCTCCCTGGAAGGTAGGCAGACTAGACCTGTGCGCTGACAGCCCTTCCATTTAGGTAACTGACTACACCTTTCTGAGCCTCTGTGAAGCGGACTGCGATGCTCCCAGCTTCCAGCACTCTCCAGAGGATAAAATTAGGGGAGGCAAGGAAAGCTCTTGGCAACGCAGGACACACTGTACACATCTGGTCTTTCTCCAGGGTGACGAGGGCATGGTGTCTGGGCCCCTGCCCAGTCACCTCGGGCCTCCCAGGAGCAGTGCCCGCAGCGCTGGGCCCAGCAGTCTGGGAGGTGGTGGTTGCCTATTTATAGTCCCTGCTGCCCGCAGCTCCTCCTGCCAGCGACCTTCCAGCGTCCGCGTGGTGTGGCCCGGCGACAGGGAGCCACTTCCCCCCAAGGACAGCCACCTTCCTTGTCCAGGAATTGGTAAAGGGCCTTGTTCTAAAGGGGGCCAGGGCGTCAGGCACTCAGCTCATCTCAGGCAGGGTTTTATAAATATATTTAACCTTTGCTCCCCTTAGAGGAAACTAAAAGGCTAATGCCCTAAGGAAATTCTAATAGGATTTCTTGGCACAGGGCCTACTTTCCACCCCACCTCCCCGCTCTCGGAGAGAAAAGCTGTCTGCTCTGTGACCTCCGTCGCTGTGACCCAAGCTGAGCTCACTGCTCCGACAAATTCACCCCCAGAACCAGGACTAGTGAAACACGCAGGTGGTTCAAGGGTCACTGGAAAGGCGCTCTGCAAGCCCTCCAGCATCTTCCTGCCAGCCCGACTGTCCTTGACCTTGCTCTTTGCTTGCTGAGCCCCTGTCGCATCCTGTCCCCAGGGAGGCTAGGAAGGTAACAAAGAGGGCCTGGGCTCCAAACCTCAGCCACACCTCTGGCCTGGAGGCATTCCTAGGTGGAGGCACTGGGCACCCCCACTAGAGCCCCTGGGAAAAGGGGGCGCTAGCAGAGTTTCCAAAGAGAACAAGCCCCTGGGGTCAGTTGCAGCTGGGAGAGCCAGCCACACTGCAGGGCTCACAGCAATGGGCAAGGCGAGACAGCAGAGACCTCACCCCTCCTCCCCCATGATGCCCTGCCTCCCAGGGCCGCACAGGCAAAATTCCGCCAAGTTCAGCCCTTGTCTGCCCTCTCCCTGGCTGTCCACCAACTGTTCACCATCAGGCCAGAAGGGAAGACACATTAGCTGGAGTGGCAGTCTTTGACTTCTCTGCATCTCTGCTCCCTCGTGTTTAATCATTAAGTTTTCAGTTATCAAGTACTTAGAACGGGCTTAACTCAAACCATAGCTTGGACCAAATGAAACTTCTTGTGCAGGTCAGAAAGAGTCGAGTCCTGGGACTCTCGTCTGCTTCAACCTATCCGATGACCTCATCTGTCCTCCCTGCACCCCCAAGTGAGGCACGGCTCTGGCCGTTTGCAGGCATGGAAACTGAGTCTCCGAAGAAGAAAGCAAGCATGTCCACCTCGATTTCTCCAATTCCCAAACCTCTCCCCTCTAGGCTGGGGTGCAGGCGTGAAAGCAAAGCGAGGACCCCGGTTCATGCTTCAATCCATTCATTTCCTCCCCCAGCCGTGAGGTGGTTCTCCTGGCCTCAGTTTCCCAACCTTTAAAATGAGGGCTCTAAGACTCCTTCCAGTCCCTTCTGGCCTACTCTGTGATTATCTTCCCTTCTCCTCGCCCCAAAACACACAAGAGTCCAATCTCTGAGCACAAAGTTCCTGGCACCCACCTTGCGTTCTTTGAAAAAATAATGGCCCTGGTTTTCAGCGCTGCCAAAGGGAAGAAACATTTTCACCCCTTCATTTTAAAGCAGCCATGAAGTGCCATGTGTTTAACCGCAAGCAAGGAGGGTCTTTTTTAACCATTGTAGAGGAGTAGCTCTCCCTCGCCCCACCAGGGGAAGGATGGCAGGACGAGCCGGAACCAGGAGGGTCCCGGGACCTGCAAAGAGCCGGCAAAATGCCACCCTGCTCAAAATGCTTTCCCTTTCTCAGAAAAGCCCTTGGGCGGGGGGAGAACCCCTCAGTCCATCAGACCGCCGGCTAATGATGCAGGGGGGGATGAGGCGAAGGGAAGGCCACGGGCTGCGGTCTAAGGGCTCCCTCAGCCTCCCAGACTGAGGACTCTGCCCCCAATCCACACCCAGGTTCCAGGGACCACGTGGTGGCAGTTACAGGGGTCCCAGCTGAGTTCTGCTAGCCTCTGGCCCTGGGGATTCACTCACAAGGCAGGGACTGAGCTTTTCCCATCAGCCACTGGAGCGCCTGGGCTGGGGCACCGCTCTCCGCAGAGGCCCGTGAGACAAGAAGGGAAGAGACAGACACGGAGGAGGGGAAAGGGGGTGGCTGCAGAGGACACAGGGGACGGGACCACCGCGTGCACTCACCCTGCGGCCGGCCTCGTTGTTGTGCAGGTTCATGAGGATGCGCGCGCTCTCATAGGAGCCCTTGGCGTGGATGCGCTCCCGCTCGCGTGCGTCCACAAACTCCTTGGCGAAGCGGTATCCGTAGTCGATGTTGTCGCCGCAGCCGCCCCAGAGCCAGTCCCGCGGCAGGTCTTTGGGGCGCGCCGCCCGGCTGCAGCCGCAGGTGGACAGCTCGCCCTCCCGGCACGCCCGGCTCATGGCGTTCACCACCCCTGCGGCGCTCACAGCGTACGTGAAGGCCGTCTCGCGGCTGCCTGCGGGCAAGGATGCGGGGTCACCGGGAGCCTGCCTCAGCCCGCTGGGCTGGGCTGGGGCGGCCAAAGTCCCCGCCCACGCTGGCCTTGCACCTGGCTGGGGGGACTCTGAGAAACCTGGCCAGGATAAGCCCCCAGCAGACCAGCTCTGGGCCCCAGTGAGGCAGGCAGAGGCAGCTCCAACACACTGAAGCCCACAGAGGGAGCAGCAGGCGTAGGGCAAGCTCTGGCTGGCCCCTGGACCCACCTTTAGCCCTGAGAACTCCCCAGCACACACAGAGGCCACAAATGACAACAGTGTAGCAGACCTCAGAGCCCCTCTGGCGCATTCCAGAGCCCAAGGCAGGATTTTAAGTGGAGCCGGATTGATTTTCTCTCCTGCTCTTTTGCCGACATTCAAAACTTATTTCCAAAAATGCACATGAAAGAAGTCATTGAAGGCAAACTCAGAATTGGGGTGGACTTCCTTGTACTTACTTTAGCACGAAACATACATTATTTTCACGTTAAGCTCTATGGGGTTTGGGAGCCTGGGCTGGGCTAGGCTTGGAGCCCCTTTAAGTCTCAGCCACGCACTGCCAGTGGCTGCGGGAGCTGTGGCCACACTGGAGTCGGCCTTGCCCTCCCTGCTCAGTGTCTCTGCATCCACACAGCCTAGCTCTACCTGTTCGGAGAGTTATTAGACATCACACCTGCCGCCTCTGAAATCCAGAGCTCACTGGCCTGACGCTTCTCCATAAAGAGCACGCACGTCTGCATTTCAAACTACCAGTTCCTGCAACCACCCCGCCCCCCCACAAGTGTTCAAATGGCAGCATGAAGAAGAAAAAATGTCTCTCCTTCATCCATGTGAATATTTCCCCATGAACAGTTAGAAGAACCGTATTTGTCAGGAAGGAAAAAAAGGTGATTACAGACAGCCTTAAATTCCACTTAGACACAGAGACGTTACTACACAAGAAGCCGCTTAATAAAAAGGTGGTACTATCAGCGAGAATTGACACTCGCCCCTGCTAACGCTGGTCCTGGGCTGGACCAGGCTGAGGAGGGGGCTCACTTTCCTTAACTGTAAAATAATAAAGGTATTGAACTAGACAGCTAGTGGGAAAAAAGGTCCCTTCTGGCCCTGAAATCCCTGTACCAGAATGGGTTTCTCCTCCGGATGCCCTGACAGTTTGGTAAGTGTCTTTTTTCGGGGGAAGAGATGGCAGAAATGCAAGGACAGCTGGTGATGGGACCTGGCCGCATGCCGAGGGCCCGTTCTGGAGGGCATGGCTGTGTCACTGTGCCCACCTGGCATTTCTTGGGCCTCCCTGCCCCGTGCTGCAGTCACAGCCTCCCACAATTTAAACATGAATAACTTGAGGGGTGGACTACAGGTTGGCAGGAGCATCCATTAGAGTTCCTCCGGGGCGTCATAGCCCAGTGTTTGAATGAGAGGGCGGACAGAGTGTAGGAAGTTCTCTCAGGATTAACACGGATCAAACAGAAAACACCATGGTCCTAGATGGGAGCCGGGTAGAACAGGGAGGGTATAGCTCGAAGAACAGGGGACGAAAAGCTCCTTGGAGGACACGAGGAAATAAGACACTGTCCTTTGTGGACCAAGCATAGAAGGCTTGTATACAACACACAATCAAGCTGTTTTCCTCGATCTATCCTGAGCATGTCCCTTTTATGCCCAGGCATACAAATCCAGGTGAAACCAAGGAGTTGGTTGGTCAGTGCGTGGGGAAACGGGTTTGAAAAGTGCTCGCTGGCTAACGGCCCGTGGGTACCATCCTCCTGGTGGGAATACTGCTGATTGAGTTAGGATTCCCTCGGCAAAATTCCCATCTCCCGAGACCCTCAGCCCCCTTAAACATGGTGCTCTCCCGACAAATCTTTTCATGCCACGGAAACAAAGACGAGAGGGGGACAAAAGCTGGGAGGAAAAAGGAGCGTGATGAAAAATGAGAAGTTTCCACCAGGAAGAGGGGGCCTTCAACCCAGCAATTGTGCCCCCTAGAAAAATGAGTTGTGCGGGGTGTCGGAGAGGGCAGCCTGAGCTGCCCAGACACAGGCCCCATCCCAGGGTCAGATTCTCACGGACAAGAACTACTCTCCATGCCCCTGGTGTACGCCATGCTCTGAGTGGACTCACACACCCCCTTTGAGCATCCAAGGTGTTTCAAATTTTCCTTAGTGCATTCTCTTCAAACCCACTCTGCAGTAGAAAAGTGAAAGCAAAGCGAATTCCCCACTCTTTTGTGTCTGTGTTCCTCCTTCCATTAAAGCCTGTCCTGTTTTTTCCTTCTCTGCAGCTGCTTTTTTTTTTTTTTCTTTTAAAGAGAAGGCCCCATCCGCACCCCCAACAAGCCACCCTCCATAGCCTCCTGCTCTGAGACAGCAGGCACAGGCAGGCCTGCGGCAGAGAGGATGCAGCCCGCATGTGCCGGCCTCCTCAGCCAACTTGATGGTTGCAGCGAGGAGGGATCTGAGCAGGCTGTCAGGAAGTCCCCGTCCTAACCACTTCCCATCAACCCAGACGGTGGCACCACACAGCTGAGGACCAGAGAGTGCACTGGCGAGGGACAATTAAATAGAGGCCTTTGTAGCAAGGGTTCTGCTTGTTCCCTAGGGAAGCGGGCTCTTTGAATCTGGGACCGCATTTAAAATAAATCTTCAGGAGAACTCAAATTCACTTAGCAAATGATAGCTTATTCTGAACAACTGTGGCCCCAAACAGGCTATGTGCAAGGATGAGAAGAGGCTCCCACAGCTTCCGGCTAGAGTGACTACACAGAAAAACAGTTCCAAGTGCTGCGTTCCCTGCTGCATGATTTCTGTTAGCTCAAAGACACATGGGAGAAAGAGGTAGGCAGCTTAGCAGGGACGTAGAAGAAGAGGGGACAGAAGACAAGCTACCAGTCTGATCCAGTTTTTTAAGAGCATGTGGCCACCTCATCCTATCAAACGGCAGGAAAAGTGCATCTCACCCACACCTCCAGTTAACTGCGAGAGCCAGCTCAGACTCAAGGAAAACTTGTGTGCTCCCGCAGCTCAACTTCTAGGTCCCGAGCCCAGCATCCAGGGCAGCACGTTTTAATCATTGACAGAAGAGACAAAGCCCTGTGGAAGGCTGGAGCAGAAGCCCTGTTCCCATTCAGTGCGAGGAACACTTCCAGTCCTGTATTATTTTAGTTTATGAAGCTGCTCGGCTCAAACATCCACTGACAACTCGTTTTTGTTCTCAATGAATGCGCTCTTCAGGCTTTTTTAAAAAGCATTTTATCCATCTGTGATGGATATTAAGCCAACTTTTTTATCTTCGGTGAGTATAAACAGTTAATTCCTTTGATGGATGGCTTCTTATTTTAGGAGTCACTGCAGTCATATTAATTATAAGGGCTTGTTTGCATAAAAGTAAAGAGACCCAAAATATTCACACTAGAAAATACACACAGGACCACTTCAGTCAAGGAGGAACCTCGCCTATTAAACCAAACCTGAGGCAAACTGGGTTTTCCCTGAATTTTACCATGAGCCCAGTTTAAATGCCTTCTCTTCCCTGAATAGTGCAACAAGTTCAATGGCATATTTACAATTAAACACTGGACTGTGAACAATACATTTACATTCTTTTTTCAGTTCCTAGGTTGAGATCCAAGTATGTGCTTTTATATCAACTGTCAAAATCGCAAGCATAAATTGGATCACTTATAATTAAAATTCTTTCTGGGACTAAAACTGAAGCGTGCCTAGCATCTGTATCTCCATGGCCTCAGGACAAACCTACATTTAGAAAATTAAAACCTCGTTCACTTCCGACACACGCGGCGTTCTGAAAGAGGGCCATCCTGAGTTGGATGGCTTGGGCCACATCAGTGTTAGGTTCTGTTAGAAACTTCCAGCAGTCCAAAGAGTTTTGAAACTTAAAAGGGTGTGCTTTCCCCATGAACTCTGGAGAAACCAAAATAAGTATTTTGCTTCTACTTTACACAAAACACACTTAAGAAAAGCAAAGCGCTCTCAGGCAGGGCAAGCGTATGGGATGCCCCCCTCCTGATGTGGTTCAAGAAGTCCAAAACTTCCAAGCGGGTGTGGCAAGTGCAGCGAACATCCTTTTCTACAATGACAAAAACCCGCAAGCTGGAAGCCACCCTCCTCCTCCGCAGACACAAGGGTCAACCCCAAAGACTCCCCCCTCCCTGCCCAGGGAAACCCTTTATAGACACGTTTAAGAACAGACAGATCCAATGGCGTCCTACCTATCTGCATCACTCTGCCGAAGACGGACGTGTTATCCACAGTGCTGCAGTTCCACCTTCGATGTCGGAACTGATACTGGCATTCTTTGATGCCGGTCTTCGCGCCTTCCCCGATGTACTGCATGTGGTCCTGATACAAGTGGCACAGTTTCTTCTGTCCTTGAGAAAGTCCCGCCAGTTGGCTGCAGAGAGGCTGCGCTCCTATGATGTATACTTCTGACATCTGAACAGGGTTATTCATACCTAGGGACCTGCACAGGGTGGGGAGGAGGAGGGGGGGTTGGGAGATGTGCGTTCAAGATTGTCGGGAACTCCCGAGCTGGGGCCCCGAAGCATGTCAGCAATACTTGGCTTTGAGCACACAGATGCTTTTTCTGCTTGTCCTCATGACAAAGTATGGCAAGGCCTGCATAAACCTCTTCTGTTTAAACGGCACTCAGAAAACGGAGGTATTGTGTATCCCCATCCCGCCAGCTGGCTCCTCGGTGAGCGCCCTCACTCCCCGCCTTGCCCCTCTCGCCTTCTACCTGAACAGATATTTCCGAAACCCACCCCAGGGGAAAGAGGGAAATGGCGGTTTCTGGGGGAACCGGCCTGTGGCATTTGAGAGAGTGACTCACTTTGGCCCACAAACCGGACCCATCTGCCTTGCGAGCACACGAATACCGAAAGCAGAGCCAATTAGACGCGGGGAGGAGAAAGCAGTTCCTCCCAGCTGAGAGAAGAACGGAGGGACAAGCATACACACACTGAAGAAGAAAATCCTCCACGCTGTGGACATGCTCAAAGGGCTCCTTATGCGGCTGTCAAGGACCCAAGACAGGGCACTGACAAGGAACAAACAGCCAGGGCTCTGACTGCAGGAACCCTCGGGGAGTACTGCGCCACGGCCATGGCCATGAGGCCCCCACGGAGGGCCACTGGGCTTCCTCAAGTCCACCTCCTCTGGCTCAAACACTTCTCTGCCTGGACTCTGCTATCTGCCCACAACGCTGCCTGCTTCCAACTCTGCAGGTGAATAACCTCAAGCGACAAAAAAATAAAAGTGGAAATTCACTTTTATTACCCAGAAATTTTATAGATAAGCTTACAATGACTGGAGAAGTCAATTTCTGTTCCCTTTCATTGCATGATGCACTACAACCATACAGCTGAACAGGGGCCCCACAGAAAACAGCCTAGATTTATAGGTTCTGATTCCCTATGGAGCTGAAGATAAGCTGTACAATATTAGCAAGTGAAAAGAAAACTGATTTTAAAAGTATATACAAGTAAATGATATCACATGCATACATATTAGATAAATGCACCCACACTTATCATCCAGCTTTAAATGCAGCCTCACACAAACCAATTAAAAAAAAAAACCAGTATGCACATAGAATGAACTTACCACCAAGAATTGGCTTCTATTACAACCTGGGCGAAGGAAAAAAATACGGCCAAAGCCATTACGAAGAACTTGGAAGACATTGCACTTCCAGCAGTCCCCAAAGCAACGCCTGGGCTTAATATTCCAATGGACTTCTGGAGAGGGAAGAAAGGATCGTATGTTTATTGCCTCTCAGATAATTCTCAAGCATACAAGTTTAAACAACGGAAGCATCTGGGGTCTCTTAAGTTTACTGTTGATTGACTGCGCTTCTCCTCCGTGAGTTGTTTGATGGCAGAGATATAGGCAGTTTCTTTTTCCAAATTAATCCACCCACGCAACCTCACCAGGAAATCTGATTTCGCTGGGATCCTGCGCGCCGGGCACGCCAGCGATTACAAACATGTCTCAATGCTGTGCAAAGCCCCCGGTGCCAGGCGCTGCCTCCTTCCTGCTTCCTCCAGTCCCGCACCCCCTCGCTCCCCGCTACTTCCAGCTGCGCTGGGTCCCGCCGCCACCCTAGTCCTCTCCCCGACCTGGGCTGAGCGACAAGTGGAGCCAGACTTAATTCCAGGGGCCAGAGGAGCGCGAAGGCGAGTGGAGCGCGCTGGCGGCGGCGGCAGCGGCTGCGGAGGAGGCGGGGTGGCCGGCGCGGGGGTGGGGGGTGGGGGCAGGACGCGGGAGGGAAGGGCAGGGGGTGGGGGGCGAGGCCCCGGGGACCAGTGCGCGCGAGAGTGCCCAGCTGGGAAATGCAGCTCCGAATTAACATCGTATGTTTCATAATCAGTTTACGGGATGAGCTGGAGAAAGCCACTTCCAGATGCGGAGAGCAGCGCGGCTTTCCATGAGGACGTTCTCAAGCCAGACTTGGGCTGGGAGAAGATGGGGGGCCTAGGGCCTAAGAGCCAGAGAGATCCTAACCGAAGAAACCGGAAAAGGGGGCCCCCTCCCACCGGTGGCCTCCCTACCCCGCCCCCAGCCTGAGAGAAGGGAAGCAAGTCCAGTAGGAAGAGGGGGCTCTGGTGCCCGTTGTCCTGGGACAGGATCCCCTCCTCGCCGGCCCCACAAACTGGCGTGTCACCCCCTCTCCTGGCAGCTGCCGCCGAGGGAGGGGACAGGGAGCTCGAGGGGCGTGGAGTTTCCCTTGGTCCTGGTCTGGGGTCGCCAGCCACTTCGCCATCATGCACGCACGGACAGCCTAGCCTTGGACCGCTGCCACCCCGCCTCCAGCTGGATCAGTTCCGAAAGAAAGGTGGGAGGTGCAGGACGAGGCCAGAGCCACTGCAGAGGAGTCCCCCGCGGGGCCAGAGAGGCGCTGGCTCCGGGTGCAGTTAGGCCCCTGGTTTCCAGGGCGCGGGCGGCCGGGCAGTGAAGGCGCCTTTCCCGAAAAGTTTCAGGGACAGGAGCCGGTCGGCCCTGGGGGCTCTCACGTCCGTTCCTCCCCACTGGTGACTTCTCCACCTGTAGGCGGCGGCGGCGGCGGCGGCGGCAGTGAGCCGAGTGCGGGTGGGAGGAGCGGGTTTCCAAAAGTCCCTTTTTCACGTCTTTGCTAAGTGTAACCCTGCTGCGCCACGCTGCGCTGTGCAGCCCACCCGCAGCCCCGGGGGGAGCCAGCCCCTTTCTTGGGAAAGCAAAGAAAGGGGAAGCTCCTCCAGGCGGCCTGAAATCCATGCAGTAAACGGACACAGGGGAGCCGGACGGCCCTGGAAACACCACGGGGCTCTGGAGCGCACCGCCGTTCCCCCTCACTGCGAGCCGCCTCTTTGGCGCGGACACCTCTGGGCTTCTCAGAGAGGAAATGCTTCTGTGGTCCCCAGCGCCCGCTAGCCAGGGCCCCGCGCCCACGGCCCAGTCGTCCCCAAAGCGCCGCAAAAGCTGGGGGTGCATCCTGGAGAGTGGAAACCCGGGTTTCCCCGGACTTCCAGCATGAAGGCTCCGTCTCCCTCCCCACCCCCGCTGCAAGTGTCAAGTTTCCTCCAGGGGAGGGGGTGGGTTGCAAAGTCGGCCTCAGTGCGCGCTACGCAGACTGCAAAGCCTACTCTCCCCAACGCTTGACCGAAGGCGCGCGAGTACGCGCAGTCACACTCACACGCGAGCACATTTGCACACTCACACGCGTGCACAGACACGTCCCGCCGTGCTTCCGAATCAACGGCCCGGATCGCTGGCCGCTGGAAGCGCGCACTTTCCAAGCTTCGCGCGGGGCGGGGCGCGCGGGGCGGGGCGCGGGCAGTGGAGAAATTGATAACAGATTCGGGCGGATTACAGCGGATCTCTTTGTTAGAGCCGAAGCCACACAAACCGAACCCACTGGCCGCCCGACACCCCTCGGGGAGTGCCCATCAGTTCCTAGAGCAGGGTCCAGTTGGGAGGGGAGGCCATCCAGTCTCTGTAACTCCTCGGGTCTCCCCAAGCTGCAGGGTAGAGGTAGGCAGGGGTGTCGCAAAGGAGATGGGGACAGGACGGGCCCCCAGTGCAAATCGGGTCTCCACTTAACCTCGCTTGCTTGCCCAGTAACACCTTGGCCTTCTTCCTGCTCCACTCCTGGTGCAACCCAGCAAAGGCCCCACAAGTTTGAGAAACTGGAGGAACCCGCAGCGAACTCACCAATAAAATACGTGGCCTCTATGGGGTGAAACATCCCCATATGTTTACTGAGGCTGGATCGAACAGACGGTCTGCAACCAGCCCTTCACACCCGGGCTAAAACAAAAGCTCTTGGACAAAGCTGACAATCCCAAAGAATGTTTTGGAGCAGGGGCTCAGGGAAGTTGACCCTGTGGAAACCCCGCTCCCTCCCAGTGTGCCCAGGAGGGCCACGGGGCACTGGAGAAGTTCGACTTGGCACAGGGGTGGGGTGAAGGGAGTGCATTTGCATACCCTGGTTTCCAAGCTGGAGCCGCTAAAAAATGAGGTGGCTCCCCGTTTGCCACCGTCCTCCCTTCTCCATACCCACTTTCCTCCCTGCCTTTGCGTTGAATTAAAAGGTGAGCCTAATCCTTTATCAACGGCAGTAAGGGCAGGCGGAACCCATGAGTGCAGACCCTCGCAGCACCCAGGTCCTCCTAGGAAGTAGGACAAAGGGGCTGGCTGGGTAATGATCCTGCTCCCTGGTCCCTGATGCACCCTCCCTTGTTCAGGGCATCTCCTCTGGCTGCCTCCTCGTCCAAGGCCCAGGAGTTGGGAGTGAAAAAGGATGAGGGACGTGCCAACCAGGCGGAAGCAGTGAGTTTGACCCCGAGGCTTGCGGAGGCAAAGAGCAGGATGGGAAACTCCAAAAAGAATCTTGGAAATGAGCTTGTTTTCCCCAGTCTGGTATGTCTCTATCTCTCACTCAAGCAACTAGAGGTAGTACGGAGAAACTTGCAGGAGAAAAACTCCATTGAAGCCAGAACTTGAGAACCAGGAGAACCCGGGAACCAGGAGAAAACGGAGAGATTCGAGGCAGAATGGGCCGGCCAAGGCCGCTCGGAGGTCCGCTGTGGGGGAGGCAGACAAAGGAGCCGCTGGTCCCCAAGGCTTCTACGCCAGGAGCAGGGGAGCTGCTGCTGACCCACGCAGCCACGGAGGTGCGTGGCCCCAGAGCTGCAGCGAGGGTGGAGATGCAAGGGGGTGAGAAACAGCCAGAGCAAAGGCCGCGGGTGATGCTTCAGGCCAAATGGGTACAATGGACTTGAGCAGCCGCGGACCACCCGGGGCCGGCCTCCGAAAGGACCTGGACCGCGCGGCCGGTCCAGGAGCTAGGAGGCTCGGAGAGGGAAGAATGGTCTGGCTGGCTCTCCTTGGTTTTCTTCGCCCCGCCCACCCCCTCGGATTACTTTCCAGACCCCACTCACTCACACATCACTTCCACCTTTGCACACACAATGTCCCCACAAGCTGAACGCTCCGGAGGTGGTTCACTGTCTACCTACCGAGGAAGAACATGGAACACCAATAATCCATCCTCTTCCCCCCCCCCTTTTAAAAAAAAAATAGAGAAACTGAGGGCAAGAGAGGAAGGCCACACTTGCTCTTGCACACACAGAGACTTGGTGAGACAACTGACTCTAGGCCTCCTGGGGCGACATCTTCCTGCCCCCGCCCAGATGTACCCACCCCTCGGTCCAGCTGTCCTAGTCTCCGTTTGCTGGGTCGGACTCACGTCCCCTTCTGCACTGCAGCTCGACCCCTGGGGCCTTCGAAGGGCCCTGCTGGGAAAGTGGGGCCTGGTGGTCTGCAGGGATGAAGGGAGCTGGGGGAGGGGGGAGAGACGGGGGAGAGGGAGAGAAGAGAGAGAGGGGCCAGCAACATCAAACCTCCCCAAAAACTGAGAGCACAGGTGCCCTACCTCAAGGCGGCCAATAGGGGGCAGCCGGCACCGTCCGGCAGGGGAAGGAAAGGCAGCGGCTAAGACTCGGAGCTCCGTGCGCACAGTGCTAACCCCTTGTGCACCGCAGCGCTCTGGGTAGCGGGGCGGGGGGAGACCAGGGGCTCTCGGGCCTGGCCTACCCGGATAGTCTTCTGTTGAGGGAGCCGCGGGACAGAAAGACTAAGAATAGTGTGTCCAGGACCCGAGAGCGCACCCCCGCAGCACAGCGATCTACTCGCCAGGACACACACACACACACACACACACACCCTCATTCGACTGCCCGCGAGTCGCCGCGCGCTCCCAGAATTGGCCCCCTGCAAACTACCCCCGGCCTCGGCCATCCAGAAACCCTGCCCCTGCGTCGGGATGGTTCCGCGGTGGACGCGCTGGGGCAGGGGAGGTGCGGACCCGGCAGGGCCCGAGTTACTTCCACACTGCGATCGAGGGGCAGGGCCCCCGACGCCAAGACTGGGATCGGAGTAAAACAGCGCCGTGGGGGCTCCAGGTCGTGGGGGTGGCTTTTTTTTTTAACCTTTGGGATAAAGGAAGGAGAGGAGTAAGGGGTCGTTTGATTTTAGGAAACATCTTAATTCCAATTCTAACCTTATTCTTTAGCAAACTAAAAATGGTAAAGACCAAAATAAATAAATAAATAAATAATGGAAATAAGGGGTCGAGGCATGGAGGCCAGAGAGGGAAAAGTTATTTGGAAAACAGCAAGTTTATATACTGCAGGGAAAAACGCTAACTTTTCGTAAAAGTGAACTCTGGGTGACCCTCCGAGTGTGTGACTCGGCTTTAAC